TTTTATAACTAAACATAGTCATTGCGTTTAAAAAAAAATCATAGTGCATATGAATTACTGAGCTGCTCAGTTTCACTGAAGGTTAACAGCCACACCACAAATATTTTCACTTTGGGCAAATATCTAGATGTCCCTGACAAAGTTCTTTTGCATTCAAATTTTCAAAAATATCTTTGGAAATGTTTAAAATTATATAATTGCAGAAATTAATGAAGACTATTTTCCTATTATTGATTTTAAAGATTAGAGACATTTTTGCACAATTAATTAAGAAACATTAGTTTCTTTCATATAATTTCCTGTGTTTTAAGCAGAATCATTGGTTAATCTTGGCATACATGTGACTCCAATTTATAACAGTTATAAGGCTGATATATACATGTATCTGTGTGTGTGTGTGTGTGTAAATCAAATATGTTGTATATTGTTATTTCTATATAAATGTATGTCTTATTACATTCTTTCTTGAACTTGCTTTAAATTCTGTGTTCTTTTAACTTCTTTAGCTTGGTTATTCAAGATATTTACTAAGTCTATTTTGTAATATTTTTTTAATCTCTTTTCCATTGCCTTGAATAATGGTAGTTGGTGATATTGCAAATATATTCAAGTAATTGCCAGTACCAGTTAATATAGATTAATTGAGAATCACTGAGGACACTGACCACTATAAATTTTTTAAATGTCATAAGCTGAAAAGAAAACATATTTTGGAAAAAAAATGAGTAAATATGGTTAAGTACTTTCTGAAACTTTTATCTCATTTTCTTCTTATTATTATTATTTAACTTGTAGAGAGAATTTACTCAACATGAAATACACCTCAAACCAGTCCAGTTGGGAATACTATACACATCATCATCAACAGGTAATAAACCATTTCTGTATCCCACTAATATCTTGCTTTTCTATCTTTCTCCATTTCCTTCCTTAAACTCATTTTATTTTTTTAATTTCATTTTCACTGCAATAAATAGAGCTCTCACTAAGTAATAACTGAGTATACATTTCTTATTAACCTTTTGAGTCAATATAATAAAATGACATATCCTATAGCTCACATTTTTATTCAATAAAAATAGTTTTGTGGATTTGTAATACAAATATATTTCATTTAATAATCTAAAGAAATAAACACAAATATTTAGAATCTCATTGTTCATAAAACTTTCCACTCAGTTTGTATACCCATCTTGTATACTATTATCCATCTATTCCCAAGTAAAGATCATTTCACCTTGAGTGAGTTTAAAAGTGCTTGACTACTTTTTCTCAAAATTGAAAAAATATCATTAATAATATATGCTGCTACCTACCTCAAAACATATTTTATATTCAAGTGAATCTTGAAGAAACAGATGATAGGAAAAGATTTGCTCAGAAATTGATTAGACAAAGGCAATGCAGTGGGTGTGATACAGCACATCTGGGCTTCATTAAAACATTTGAGTCATGTCTCATAAAATTTACTTGAAAAATTAATTCAGGTTTTACTATCACCTACTCAGAAATTAGATTATGTTACATCAATTTGTTTTTTAGGGCCAACCTATAATGATAACACTACGAATGAAAGTGATTTTTGATTCATACCAAAACTCACAAAGTACGCATATTTGCATTATAACACCACCAAGACAAAATGAACAAGTTTTCCAATATCATTATTGTTATTTTCAAAGGGGGAGAAACATATGGAAACAGGATAAACTTGCTTGCTTTTATATATATGTACTTTGTTATATCAAATAACTGGAAATACAAATCCCAAATTATTCTTTTTTTTTTTTTTTTTTAGAGAATTTCACTGTAGGGCGCGTGCGCTCGCCAGACAGACAGAGAGAGACATAGAGACAGAAAGCGAGAAATCACCCCCCAGGGGGGATGGTCACGCTGCAATCCCTTCTCCTCCATTCTCCTCTCGGGATCTTGGGCACGCACGCACACGCGCCCGGCGTGAGTTTTAAGCCACCGGGTCCGGGACACAAACCGCGGTCGACTACGTGGGAGTCCAGCGACATAGCCATTATGCTAACTGCTGGTTCCCCCAAATTATTCTTTAACATGACTGGCAATAGAATTTTTAAATGAGTGTTATAATCAGACTATGTTAAAATTAATTATATCTCTGCTACATTATATAAAGTGATTCAATTAATATTAATCTTTTATTGACTTGTAAGCAATTTCAGTTTTATTACTTAAGTTATTCAGATCAATAGGAACCTGATTTTTTAATAAGTGTATAAACTATATGTTGCTGCAAAATGAATGTAGCATCTTAAAATATGGTAATTTAAAACAACAATAATGTGTGGGACCATTATTGTTGGCATAATGGCTCTGTTGCTGGACTCCCATGTAGTTGACCATGGTTTGAGTCCTAGACACGGGACTCAAGTTTAAGACATAAACTCCAGGTGTGTATGCCTAAGAGGAGAATAGAGGAGAAGGGATTGTGGTGTGACCATCCCCCATGGAAGGTGATTTCTCGCTTTCTGTCTCTCTGTCTCTCTCTTTCTGGTGAATGCAAGTGCCCTATAGCAAAAACATCTCAAAAAAAAAAAAAAAAAAAAAAAAAAAAAAAACAACACACACACAATAATATATTTTTTAAAGAATTTTTTATTCAGTTTTAAGTTTCTTATTATTATTTAATTTGCTATAGGGCGTGTGTGCTCCGATATGGGAATTTAGTGCCTTAACCACCACACTATCTGTGGCCCCAAAACAACAATAATGCATTATATTATTTATAATTTTTCTGCAATTCTGTGGTATAGACTCAACTGATGCTTCTTCTAGGTCTATAATTTTGTTCAGAACCACTTAAATGGCTCCTTCAGCTAGATTCTCTAGATCTGGAAAATCAAAGATTATCTCTCATTCAGGGATTATTTTTTAATAGTGTCTAAACATTCACTAGTCTGGCCTCTAATTTCTTATACATGACTGGTGGGTTGTAAAAGAAAAGAAGGAAAAGCCGCTAATTCTCATAAGGCCTACACAGAGTCCAAAAAAAGGTCAATTTTCTTGTAATCTATTGACCAAAGCAATGGCGGGTCCAAATATAAAAGGAAGAAAAATAGTTACCAGGTTCTTGACCTAAGAAGCAGCACACACAAGCAAGAATCGGAGGAACTGTGCCATCCCTGTAGGCTCGTAGTTAAAGGAATCAGATCCCACATGAACAACTCCAGTGCAAATCCTCCCAGCTTGAAATACATACCTGGCCATATGTGTCTGTGCTCCAAATTCCAACAGGATGGAGAATTGGAGGAGAAGCCAATGCAGTGTGAGCATGCCAGTGTTGCTCTAACCCCACCTCTGTCTCTCTTTGGTGAGTACATGTCTTCTGGCAATGAACAAGATGGAACAAAGGAGACAAATGATTGTTGATCATGTTGGTGCCTATAGACAAATTTAATCCTATAAAATGAAGCATATATACACAGAAATTTGATTAAAATTTAAATATTTTCCAAATTAAAGGTCTGTAGTAAATATATCTATATAGATACACAGGTATATTTATTTCTCTTTTTAAAAATTTACTTAAACTACTGTTTCTCAACCTCATTTGATCAAGATGAATTATAGCTGAAACAACAAGTAAAACAGGCAAAATGTGTACCAAACCATGATAGACACTTGGTTTTGCTGTCCTAAAAATATTCCTCTTGAATTTAATAGATATTCCCACATCCATTATTTTATTTAACCATTACATATTCTTGAACCTTTAGCCTAGATTCAGTTTCATATAAACTTTTCATAATCTTGAAAAAATAAAACAAAACTTGGGACCAGCAGAAGGAATAATGGTTATATTCCTGGACTATCACATTGTCCACTACAGTTTGAGTTCTGAACACAGTGGCTTAAAACTCACTCCAGGCACATGTACACACGTGCCCAAAATCCTGAGAGGAGAGTAAAGGAGAAAGGATTGTGGTGTGGCCATCCCCTTGGGGTAGGTATTTCTCACTTTCTGCCTCTCTGTCTTTCTGGCAAGTGCACATGTACTATAACAAAAATCTCTCTTAAGAAAAAGAAAAAGTTAAAACAACTAAAAGGAAGATCTTCAGTATTTTTGTTGTTGTTGTTTTTGTTTTGTTTTTTAGAATTATTTTATTTATCTTTACTTATTTATTTTAAAATTTGACCATAGAAGGACAGAGCCCATGAGTATGCAAAAGAGAGAGAGAGAGAGAAAGTGAGAAAGCAAGCCTCCAGGTCCTGGACTCAAACAGCAGTCAGCCATCTGGGACTCCAGAGCCCTTCACCACCACACCTCCTGCCAGCCCTGAGATCACCATTTTTAAATTAATTTTTTTTTTTAAGATACAAAATAGTTGTCTTAGAAGCTATAGGAAGATGACATTTATTTACATGTTCATTCTTCAATAAGTATTGCAATTCAAGAAGTGACAGCACAGCACGAAGCTGTATGGGTGCATAAGGTGCTTTTCATACCTGTCTCTACGAAGATTTGAGTTGACAGATTGGGTACCAATGGAGTGGAAAAACAATGAAGAGAGATATAGAAAGCACAAAAAGTAACATATAATGCAAGCTAAAACATGAAAGTTGAACATGAATTAACTATCAAAAGAAGAAAATGAAATAAGAAATGGCCTAAAAAGAGCAATTGATAGACAGAAGGTAGAATAATTGTTATGGTGTTGGACTCCCACATGGCTGACTGCAGTTGGAATCTCAGAGCTGGTGGCTTGAAAATCATGCTGGGTGTGTGCATATACACACCCAAGGTCCTGGGAAGAAAATGGAAGAGAAGGGATTATAGTGTGGCCATCCCCTTGTGGGAGGATGGGATTGTTGTATTATGAATAGGTTGTTTCTTTGGACAAGTATGGGAGATAGCAAAATTTAAGAATATTTGTTATTATTCTTTATCATTAGGGAATATCTATGGCTAAATTTTTAAGGATGTAGTATCTGATTAAATAGGGGAACTCAAAGCCTTTGAAGTTCAGACACTCGCCACTGCACCTGACCAGTCCTGTTGGCTGATGCAATTCAGTGGTGCACTGATAGCAAACCCCAGTTTATAAAACAGGGTTGTCCTTCAAAGGGATGACTCTATGCCAAACACATGGGAACAGCAGCTTCAGATTGTGACACAGGTTTTGATGTTTTTTTTTTTTTCCTTTCTGCAGTTACACATAGTGGAAACATCACTTTTGATGAGATTGTCAGCATTGTGCATGAGGCTCCAGTCTTTGGCCAGAGAACTCTCTGGAACCATAAAAGAGATCCTGAGAACAGATAGGTCTGTAGACTACAATGTCAATGGCTGCTAGTCTCATGACATCATCAATGAATCAACAGTGGCGCAGTGGAATGCCCAGCTAGTTCAGAAGTACACAGGAAAACATCTTAATATAGGATCATGTGACAATCCCCCCAAAAAAAGAATAAAAAAGACTTTTTAAGCAAAAAAGAACTAGATGAGGTGACTTTTTATGTCATGACATTAAAACTGAAGCTACAAGTTTTTTAGCTTTTTATTCCAAATTTTGGTTATGTCTTTATATTATTTTACTAACATACAAAAGCACAGGAAGCTTTTAAACAAATTTTGTTTAGAATTTATGGAAGAACTAAGATGAGTTGGAGGAACTTATTAGTGGAAGACAAAAATATTACAAGTAAAACTTTAGATAAGTTAGGTGAGAATTATGCAAATTTACAGTCAGATAATTAGGATAAAATGAGATTATATTTAATAAAATTAAGCCAATGATCTTTATGTTTATTAAAGACCAGTTTTAAACATTAACTCTTGAAACATTGTATTAATTAATGTATATTTTGGATCACTAACTCATCTTTTTTTTTTTTTTTAAAGGTATTTTCTATCACAAACCATTTTCGACAATTTCCAGCAATTACTATAAAACTACCTTAACACACAAGCAAGCAGGAGTAAAATTTCAATTATGTAAAATGAAGTGTTCTATTTCTGATTTCTGAAGAGTTAACCAGAAACATGATCAGTTCATACTGTCACATAAAGAGCACATACATTTGTACACACACACACTCACACACACGCACACACACACACAGAGCAAAACTTGAACTGATGGTATAGAAAGAGACCAAATGTGAAAAATTTCAGTAAACTCTGCTTCCGATGGGACAAATGGTGAGAGCCAGCCCCTACAGGATTACAAACAAATTTGTGTTATTTCAGACTGCAATATTGCTTGGATGTTCTATATTTCAAATAAAATTTGTTTACTTGAAGTGATTTCATTAAGATTGTTTGTACGATTCCTTCTCCTTAAAATATTTTTAAATGACATTTTTTGAAATAAGTTTATTAAAAATTCCCAGCATTATGCCTTTACAGACTTTTACTCATTTATCAAAAAGTACTGAGCACCTACATTAAGTTATGAAATGTCACGGTTTTGTAGATTTAACAAGGAACAAGAACTTCTCTCATCCAGCTTACATTCTAGTGAGCATGAATTTAGGCATGTTCATCACTGTACTTTTCTTAAATTTATTATCATACTCTTATTTTTTAAAAGACCTAGCTTCTGTACAGTTACTGGTGTTAAAGCTCTGAAATCCTTCTCAATAAATGTCTCTGTTATGTGGTCTCCTGACTATTATGAATGCTGAAGTTGGGAAGAAACATTACTTTTTCACTAAAATTTTATTTTTGTGCTAAAAGAACTCTAGCTCCCATTTGAGAACTTCAAACTAGAAAACCATTTTACAGAATTTCATTTCTGTGTAGATTCTCTTATGAAGGATAATCCTTACTGTACTCTTCACTTTTATAGAATTTATCACCACTATGGACTCTTTTTGATGAATTAGAAGACCTGAGCTCCAATGGAAATCCTTACCACATGCATTACATCTGCATGGTTTCTCTCCTGTGTGGATTCTCTGATGAGCTTAAAAGTTTGATCTCTGAATCCTTTTCCACACACCTCACATTGTATGGTTTCTCCCCAGAGTGGACTCTGTAATGGGCTTGAAGACTCGAATGCCCACTAAATCCCTTACCACATTATTCACCTTTATAGGGTCTCCCTTCTATGTAGATCCTCTGGCTTGAAGATGTGAATTCTCACTGAAGCCCTTTGTGCTTACCTCACATTTGTATGGTTTCCCTTCCATGTGAACCCTCTGATGTGCTTCAAGACATGAACTTTGACTAAAACCTTTCCCACACATTTCACATTTATATGGTTTCATTCTAGTGTGGACTCTCTGTTGGCCCTGAAGATCTGCTCTCTGACTAAAGCCCTTTCCATATACCTCATATATGTGTGCGTGTGTGTGTGTGTGTGTGTGTGTGTATAATCTCTCTCCAGAGTGAACACTCTTATGGCTTTGAAGATACAATCTCTGACTGAAGCTCTTACCACACTCATCACAGTGGTACAGCTTCTCTCCTCTGTGGACTCTCTGATAGGCCAGAAGAGTGGAGGCCTTACTGACGCCTTTAACCACATTCTCCACATTTGTAGGGTTTTTCTCCTGTGCGAACCTTCTGATGATTTTGAAGATTAAAACTCCCACTGAATTCCTTCCCACATTCTTCACATTTCAATGATTTTTCTCCTATGTAGACTCTAATGGTCTTGAACGTGTGAACTCCAGCTAAAGCCCTTACCACACTCTTCACACTTGTATCGTTTCTCTCCAGTATGGATTCACTGATGGCTTTGAAGGTATGAATTTCTACTGATGCCCTTACCACACTACTCACATTTGTATGGTTTCTCTCCTGTGTGGACCCTCTTTGGACTTGAAGGTATGAACTCCTACTGAATTCCTTATCACACTCCTCATATTTATAAGTTTTCTCTCCTGTGGGGACTCTCTGGTGAACATTAAGAACTGATCTATGGTTAAAGCCTTTACCACATGCATTGCATTTGTATGGTTTCTGTCCAGTGTGAACTCTGAAGATCTTTAGATTTTGAACTCCACATGAAACCATTCCCACACTCCTTATAAGATTTTCTCCAATGTGAATTTTCTGATGACCGTGAAGATGTGATTTTTTACTGAAACTGTTACCACATGCATAATGTTTATGCATCGTTGGTCCTTAGTGTGGACTATCTGAAGGTCCTGAAAGCATGAGGCTAACTGAAGCTATTATCACCTCCCTCAGAATTATGAGGACTCTCTTCCATGTAAAGTCTATGCTGAGCATTAAGATTTGAACTACAGATGAAATTCTTTCCACACTCTGCACCTGTGTATAATTTATCTTCTGAGTGGATCTTCTGATGGATTTGAATGCATGAATTCTGATTAAAGACATTCTCATTCTTCTCATATTCATGATGCTTCTCTCCAATATGGACCCTAAAATTACTGTTAAGGCCTAAGCTACAATTGAAGGCTTTCTCAAAAATGTTGTTCCTGTAAGGCATCTCTCTTGCATGGATAAATTTGTAAGTGCTTAAAGGGGAGTACCGATTGAAGTACTCACCATATTCACATTTGCGTAGTTTCTCTTTCGTACATACTTTCTGATGGGATTGAAGATATGAACTCTCAATAATACCATCGTCTCTGCTCTGAACACTCTGATGAACATAAATAACTGAATTGTAACTAGAGCCCTTTTCATACAGACTGCATGTACGGGGCTTCCCTCCTAAGTGGGAGTATTGGTGAATTTCAAAGCTGAAGTCATCACTGAAGGCTTTTCTATATTCATTACACAGGTAGGACTTCTGTCTTGTTTGAATTAAGTCCTGATTATGTAATGATACTGTCATTATATCTTCTCCACAGTCATGGCAGCTGTAAATTTTTTCTTTCCTGTGTACTTCCAGGTTATCCTTGTCATGTAAGATCTATCTGAGGTTGTCACATTTACATAAATTATTTTTTGTGTAAATTTGCTGAAATTTACCCTGGCAATTATGTGCCTCTGTCAGATACGTTTTCCTCCAAGAATGCTGGGCCTTCCAATAAGGAACCTCTTGACTTTTTATATAATTCAAATCATCTCCTATATGAGTCAATATGTACTTCCCATCTTCAGAAATCTGAATTGGTACTACTGCCCAAACCTGGCAGGAAGATTAATCTTGCTTTTGCAACTGAAAATTCTTCCACTGGAATTTTTCAAGGAATCTTGATACCTAGTTAACTCATCACTACCTTCTTGCCAGGACTGCCAGGAGGACAGCTCTTTGGAGGAAAGGCAGCTTAATTCTACTTTGTCTTATGTTGATTCTTGCTTCCTGAACTCCCATCCCTGAGTTTCTGTCTCCACCATCAAAAGTTTTTCTTCTCTTTCCAACTGGGATATCAGGTCTGGTTTGAAGGACTGATGTTCCTAAAGTTCTCCAGCATCACAAATTGGTACAGAATCCTCTAGGCAGAGCCCAGCAGCCCCAGCTCCTCCTTAGTGAAGACCACAGCCATGGCCCTGAAGGCCACCACCTCCTGGAATTTGGTAATTTTCTTCTCCTTTTTCTAGGAAAAGGCAGGCACCTATGTAAAGCTGCTCAGTGCTTGACTCAGAAGGAGTGGGAGACCAGGAGTTTAATTTTGTGAATTATTCCTCAAGGCTTGTTGTCTTATGTAGTGTTCTTAGGAAACTTAGGCCATCTTTCCGAGAGGAACAAAGGCCACAGCCTTACATGCCTGGGGTGAAAATGACTCTGCCTCATCACTAACTTATCTTGAAATATAATTTGGATTATATGTAACACACAGCTAAGTTTTGTAATATTTATCATTCTCTATTATTGTTTTGAATATTTTATTAAAGATCCACAGATGTTTTACAAAAATACTACAATACTCTTAAGCTGGTATTATAAAAGTATGATAAATGTTTTAGACACTTTTTAAGAAACTATTTTGAGTTTTGCAACAAAATATTGGTAAAGCACATAGTGACGAAATAATCTTCAAAGTACTTCCTGTTAAAATTTGAAATGAAATTCTCCCAGCTTATAATGAATCCTAAAAGCCATACTAAAAATATCAATGATCACATTATAATGTCTTGGTGACCTCTTTCTATTAAATGTATTTTTGATTTGGCTGAAATCCTTTCAAATTTGTTTTTCTTTTATGTTTGTGTTTGTTTTTGTTTATCTTTTA